ACTAGTTTAGCTTTTAGTTTTTAACATCTCTATTTTGTTATATTTTATTTATTTTGAAGCATTGTGGTTTTAGTTTTCCCACAACTATTTAAAAACCAAAGTTTGTGTATTCTAAGATTGAAATTTTAGAAATGAAAGAATTTTAATACAATTTTACTTGCACATATGAATACTTCCACGCATGATTTCTAATATAATTAGAAGTTCATGAGTTGTTTAGAATAAATTGCTTGAATTTATCGAGGTATAAATCTAACTAAGAGTAAAATTGTGTTATGTGGTTAAGGCTTACCGCCTCCAATGGTAAAATTTTTATACAAATGCTTATATATACTCGTATCTAGAAATTCTATTTCTCATACCGAACTTCTATTTCTTATTCATAAAGTAATCGAGTTCTTCAATTTGATTTTTAATGCAATGTAATATTGTTTCCTTTTATTTATGATTTCTATTATTCGTTATATTGTTCAGACTATTATTTTATATCTTTAATATTATTATGCTGTAATAATTTTATTTATCAATCGATTAAATTTCTTTCGAAAATAGTTTTTATATATTACATATTAATTTGAAACTTTTCCTTATTTCTGAACAAATGACTATTTTGACTTGATCACAACCTTAATAACATAATGTTCTCCAATATTTTCGCCCTATATTTAATAAAGAATATTGTATTCCTTTGACTGTATTTAAAATAATGACGAGTCACAATTGATGGCCTTTCAGATTTGATGTTAGTAATTTGTAATGAGAAATATTCTTCTGTTTAATTTGTGTGTTTTATCTTCTATTTTATATATTTCTATTCTTACTATTTAAGTCTATTTTCGAGTTAGCACATATTTTATAATAGAACTAAGTGTTGCTGGTAGAATAGCGTGCAACTAATTAAAAATGATTTACTTTTTATTAATTAAAAAAAAAATATTAAAATCTTAAAACCATTAAATTTTTAAAAACGATCACAATTGTTCTACTAAGTTTGAATTATCTATCCATTAATAATTTATTGTATATATTTTATATCTAAAAAGTCTATTAGAAAACTAATTAAAACTGATATAAATTTTAAGCCAGTAGGGTTGTGATTAATGGTTTGTCACTTTCTAAGGTTAAAGGTCATGCACGTAATTAGAAACATGTGCATTTATTCTTAATACACTATTTTTTGCATGATAAAATGAATATTTTATTTTTTTACTCAGCCGCTTGCATCTAATTTATTTATATAAAAATGTAAGATAAAACAAGCGTTGTGATGAAAATACCAGGAAAATTTACATATGCATACAGATAGGGGTGAAAACATGTAGAGTAATAGAGAAAAACTTTATTCTATTTAAAAATATAGTAAAATAGGGTAAAAAATATTATTCCTTATATCTAACATTATAGAATAGTAGTTAATTTTCTGCTGAAATAAGAACCCAAAAAAACCGATTAAAGGGACAAGCTAATTATCCATATAACGAGATTAAAATTTCTATTTCCATATGTGCAAAATAATAGAATGTATTTTTTTCTACTGAGAGATAAATAGATAAGTAGGCTTCGCTATAGTATTTTGCAATTATATGAATCACGAAATATTTTATATCTGAGTTACAGTACTTGCTGCTTACTCACCGTTCAATAAAATTTTATTTTACCTATTAAGTAATAAAAAATAAGTTGAAGATTCTATGAACTGAAACTCAAAAAAATTGAGTAAAAATATTTTAAATTTGAGATAAAAATGAATATACATATATAATGGAAATGCTTAGCTATTCGCGGAGCATCCAAATCTGTCTGACCTCATTGATTACGAGATATGAAAACTTCAAATATCACCTTAAAAAGCTAACTCCTGCTGAGGAAGACACTTGTAGACTATGTCTAGAAGAAAAGGAGACAGCGGTGCATATATTGTGCTAATTTCCAGCAGTGACAAGCAGGAGGAAGACTGTTTTAGGACATTTTTTGTCCCAAATTGAAAATTGGAACCAAGACGGTTTTTATACTTATGAATTTGTATAGGCTTAGGTGAACAAAAAGTGATTGAGTTATTGAAAAATCCACCCTACGGAAGAAGTCAGGAAAATTTTTAAAGGTTATTTTATAAAAAAATAAAATTTACTTATTAAAAAATTTCTTTCAGATTTGAACATTGTTTCACTATAACTACTATTTATTATATGAAATATAATAGATTTCTTATCATACGGCAAAAAATTCTTAATCATAAATTTAGCTGGAATTCAGAACAAATGTTCTTTCCATAGAATTTGATAAAGCAAAAGTCTTAAAGTATGTTTGCAGAATGTAATCGATCTAAAGTAAGTACGCAGAATTTTCTCTTGAAACAATAGCGTTAAAGTTCGTAAAACCAACTGTTTACAATGATTAAGTTAATTTATATAGCTGTGGTTTATGCGTTGGTTTTAATGAATAGCACAGTTGTTTATGAATAAACTTTTTTTTATGAAAATTGATGGTTTTGCATGAATAAACAACTTTTCGTTGCTGTTGTGTGTTAACAGAGAGGTCTACAGTTTAAAATTGACAGGGTTCAATTTTTTACAGATTTTTCCTAAGACCACTGACGTTAAATATATAGCTATATCTCAAACAGTTTATGGTCAGAATAAAAATAAAAAATATTTAAAATTGCAACTTTATTTCTTTTAAACAGAAAACTAAATAATATAAAAAAATAAAAAAGTTAATATTTTATCTTAATACTTTATATTATATAGTTACCTATATAGACTACAGAGCACTCTCAGTGTTTATATAGATAACTATATAAAAAAAATTGAAAATAAAAACCAACTTATAACTTTGTTATTAAAAATTCACAGAAGCTTTTTAAAAGCAGAAAAAAAGTTGTAATTTTAAATATTGTTTTATTCTTGAGTTGACTATACAACTGTTTCGAATATAACAAAATATCCATCATCAGTGATCTTTGAAAAAAAAATCAACTTGTTTATTATATGTATTGTTGACAAAAGCCTACACAAATTTATAAGATTCTCATGATATTTAAGTATTTACATTAATGTTTGTAATATCAATTATATTTTTAATTATTTCACCAAATTTAACTACAATTTTATAACGATGATAGATGGTTCGCGATTGATTTCTTATGTATTTTTTTGTTTTATTTAATTTAAATTCAATATACATATATTCCGTCACATAATACTGTGACGTTTTACAATTTGATAAATATAGTTTTAGTCATGATAATTTGCAATATAGGTAGTTCTCCTATAAGAGTAGTTCTAGAGCTACTCTTTTATTTTTAAATAAGATATTATAATATCTGAAGCTCTTATGTATTAGTAATTTGTTTTTAAATAATTATTATTACAATAATGTCTGCATTTATTTTATGTTTGATTTTCTCGTTTACACAGTTAGGCTATTTTTAAATAAGCACATCATTTATTACTTATTAGGCCGTGTGCGACTTCGAGTAAATTGAGGTAAAGTAAATTGAGATTTTCTAGGAATTTTCTGCACTGCACTTATCTAAATATTTATTTGTTTATATTGTACTTATTTATTATTTTGGTTAAAAATATTCAAATTTATTTATTTATTTATTAAATATCTTATAAAATTTTCACTAATTTACCTAATTTTTATCTAACTTACCCTACGCGAAATATTGTTAAATACCAACATTCGTTGCCACACCGATATAATTCACTATTTCCCTCAATTTACCATCAATTTACTCGAACTCGCACAAGGCCTTAATAAAAATTTGGTGTTAAATGTTGTATAACATTTCAAATATGTATGTTATGTATAAATAATTAATATATCTGTCTTATTTGTATGTAAAAAGGATTATTTTAAAAATACAACCCAATGACATAGCAAATCCCCACTTTACTGAGATTATAAATGCGATGTCTCTGAAGTTTCTTAGTCGCGTTTCTTTCACAGAACTCATAACTCACAATTCAACCAAGTAAATATAAAAGTTATTTGCATATCATTTTTAGATTTCGTGACTTTTTGAATTTTTTATTTAATTGAGTTTGCCTAATTAAGCAAGCAAATCCCCAAAATTGCTTCATGTAAATAAAGTAGCAACAGTTGCGAGCGGAACAATGAGAAAATGTGCCTCGACTGAAAGCAAAGACAAATTAGCAATGCGACAATGACGGAACATAAAAGTCCATATAATAATGGAAGGGAAGGGCATAAAACATTGTAGAACAAATCCCGAAGAGAACGTGACAAAATCTTGAATGTTGTAAAACAAGAAAAAAGAAAACAATACAAAACAAAAAGAAATAGATTTTAAACAAAAGACAACAAAGTAAAGCAATGTAAAACTAAAACAATTAAATTGTTTAATTGCTGAATTAATAAAAGAACTGCCGAATTCTGTATACTCGCAAGTCGTTTGCATTGCGTTAGCATTTATTTATAAGTCAAGAAGAAAATTTAAATGAAAAATAAATTAAAGAAGCATAAAAATAAAAATTAAATACGAATAAAACATTTTTCTTGTACTTGAACCGCAGAATCCCCAAGTTTGGCTTAATTATGCAGGAGCGTGACCCACAAACATAAACCATACAATACCAAAAACTGTAGTCACCTCAATTATAATTGTAAATCGTTTATGTTAACAAAAAAAAATAACAAAAAACAAAAAAAAAATATATGAAATAAACAAAAAATATGAAATAAAAAATGGAATAATAATAAAAAGTGGTAAATGAAATATCTCAAATACAACGCGAACGCGAAATTGCGACAATGCAAACTGCCATAAATCTGTATGAACAATTTTAAATGACGAAATTTGAAGTACAAATTAAAAGTACGAAATGGTTGGTTGTGGCGGAAATGCATTAAAAATTGTTTAATGAAATAATAAATGTGTGAGTATGCAACATGAATAATTAATATGCGACATGCAGCCAAAGGACATTAAATTTTAAAAATGTTGCAAACAAAAAAGAATATGTAACACTTACGATTGGCCATGCTGAGATGTGGTAACTGCAACGCCAGTAACAGCAAAAGTATGTAGCAATTTTGTGTCCATATTGTCCACGTTGTGAGCTGGGATCGACAGCACTTTGTAGCTGGGGGAGATGCCGAGTCTTTCATGACCACCAACATTATAATTACTTGTTTGCTCGTTTCGAAGCAAGCAACATATGCGCGTCAAATTAAAATGAAAAAATATACTTTTTTCAGATCATAAATAACACAAGCAAAAATGAATATAAATGCCACAAAATGACAAGGACGTGTTTTTACAGACGATGCAGACGATGATAACTCCAGACCAGACTTAGTTGCTGTTTATGTTACAAGGACGACGCAATCATATGACAAATTTTGGTAAACAAATTGGCACACAATGTTAATAAATTTTAAATTTGAAACGATATATCACCGGAAATATTACTTACACACGCACTCGAAAAAATATATTTCACTACCTTTGAAAAGGATTAAGTTTGCACTTTGTTTATTTGTTGACAAAATAGCAGCAAAATATTTTTTAAAATTTTCTTATTTATTTTTTTGTTGTCAAAAGTGAAAATCTATTTTTTTGTCGTAGTATATTCTTCTAATTTAATTTATTTATTTTGAAATGTAAAAAATAGCGCTCAAAGGACGAATTTACGCAAACTTCCGCTTAAACTTTAAAAAGGAATCGCATAACAACTTTCACCGCTGTCTCGTCTTATTTCCGTTAGTGCCAGCAGTAAACAGCGAATAGCGAACAGTGAACGGTGAACAGTGAACAGCAAGTGCAAGTGCAAATCTACAGACAGGGAGGCTAACAGACTGGCAGACAGACAAATGGAAATGTAGACAAACAGTTTAGTTTGCCAAAATAGTATTTTTGTATATTTTACGTTTCAGGTTCCCTTTACTCCTTTCAGTTTTGTTTACATTTACATTAGAATTTTTTTTTTTTATTTATCAGCTTCAGTTTACGCACATTAGTGAAATGTAATAAGGATATCCGTTCACTTTCCGTTTCCGGTTACTGTGTTTTGCAATCACGCTCATTTGTTGTTAGCAAAATAATTTTAAAAAATTTTAATTTTTCGATATTTTTTTCAAATCAAATATGCGCGCTAAATTTACGTTAAGTTTTTAATTTCGTATTTTGTTACTTTTCCGTTCGCATGTCCTTCTGCGTTACGTTAACAACGCAAAATGCCAGCAATTCCGTTCGGTACATTCAATTTATATTCGTTCGACTGAAGTTCCATGCTGCCTTCGTTGCCTGCGTTGGCTTCGTTTGCTTTTTGCTGTTGTGTATGAAATGTTCGGCGTACAGTGGCGTTTTCAATATAGAAGGAAATATTAATTTCAATAAATTCTAACAATATAACATGACTAAATTATTTTTTATTTTATTGTTTTTTATCTATTACATTAATATTAATATTTAATGTTTATAAATTAACACATATTAATCAACTTTTCATAATTTTTAATAAAATAAAAAATTTTAAATATTTAACTTTGTCTAATTTCTCAAAAAATAACAATATGCAAAGAATATCGCGCTTTTTGTTTTATTGAAAGCAACATTTTACAAAAATTGTGAACAACTAAGTTGTTTTCTTATATTTATTTATATAGTCATTATTTTTATAAGTATCGCCGACGTTTCGAAGTTTATTTGAATTATACTTGAGGGTAGCGTATTTTTATACTCGCTTTGAGGAAAAAGTTAAGTAGGTAAGACTATTACTTAACTAAATTAAGTACTTTCTCTTATGACATTAGTTGACCGTATAGGAAAGACCTTTAAGGCCTTAAGATTAATATATATCAAACCACTTGCTAAGAGTTTACCTGGTATTGGCACAAAAGAAAGAAGTATCTATGTGAGCCTCTCATATCGGATGAAGAAATAAAACTCTGTAGTGAAGTTTGACATATTACAATTTATGAAGGATATTGGACTTGGAGAAATACTTTCAGATCATGAAGGTCTATAGATCTATAAGTCTCAGTGCGAATTCACTGCGCATAAATATGTAGATGGTTATTCTTATTGTTTTTATATGTTTTATGTTACACTATATTCTTACCATTTGCCTTGCGGATATTTGTCATTTCTATTTCTGAACAGAAGCCTATATTAACGCAGAAAACTATACGATATTCCTTGTATTATAATTAGTGCTATTCTTATTCGGTTTTATGAACTATTAACAAAATCCGGTTAATCGGATTAATTTATAATTTCATTTTTTTAAACATAAAAAATGAAAGGTTTTACAAAATTTCCTTTTCTAATAAAATAATAAAAATAATACATATAATATATTTATAAATACATTCACAATTTTTACACATAAATTATATATTTTATATTATATTTGAAATTATCATTCATCTAATATCTTCAATATAAATTATAAATATTAATGTTATTTACAACGTAACTTTTTTATTTAGTTCTTCCAAATGTAATAAAATAAAATAATATAAAATAAAATAAAATAAATTAAAAATAAACATACATTGCACATGTGTAGTTTTCTGTACTAAATACCGAACACACAATATCGTATTAACAACAACAAATTGTATTATTCATATAGATTCCCCTTTAATGTTTGCTTTTCTAATAATTTCAGTATGAATAGTAATTGCTAATCCGGATAATCGAAGACTTCGAATTTGAAAAAAAAATGATGTTTTTTATCTCCTGAGACTTCGTTACTATCCGATTAAATAGCTTCGGTTTTTAATATACTAATATGAATAATAATATGAACAGCACTTATTAACTTTATCTCTAATATTCAATGACTTTTTTATTTAGTACCGCCACTGTCCCTACAAATTAATCCAGTGTTTGAGTTTGTCTGAAGTGAAAAGATGCAAAAGTTGTTTGTTGTTTGATGTGATATTTGTGTTGCCGGCGGTTGTGACAAAATTCATTGAGGTGTTCGGTTCTTCGAAGACATCAAATATTGCGAACATTTGCTCTATTCCAAGTGCAATAGTTTCCTTCAAGATTTTAATATCACCTTAGTTGAGAGCAGGTACGTGATTCCCGAAAATGTTCATGTCAATGTACAATAGAGTATGAAATTAAAAATAAATGCATTCCAAGTTAAATTGAGAAATAAGAAAATGCAGTCAACTTTTTCTTAATTGAAATTTCACTACATGAATTTTTAAGTTCAATAAATGCACAAGAGGAGAAAGTATCTAACGAAACTTGCTTCACTAAAATTCAAACTTTATTGGCATACTAAAAGTCGAATGTATCTAACAGCAATTGTACCACTTTATCCGTTCTATTATCCGTTCTATTATCCTTATTTTATCTGCGTCTTCAGTTACTGATATTGTAGTTGATTTCTGTTAAATTTTATAATCTAAACGCGACCACTGAGTGAGTCCCTAAGGAATTTTTAGTGTAAATGTGTTTTTGTTTTTTGGTTAAAGTAACTTTCGTTCAGTGGAATTTATTGTGGTTGCATGTATATCAGCAGCAAATCTTTTATGGGTTCTGGGTGTGAGCGAAAACGCTAAACCAGTGAAAACTTAAAATTGGTAATAAGACGAAGTGGGTGGGAAGAAAGTTCAGTTTCTTCAGTAGAGTTACAATGAAAAATACCTAACAATATGAAAGCAATAAAAAAGTTGAATAGAAATTCAACTGTGTTCCACATAATTGTTTAATTGTGGTTTTGTGTTACTTTGCTGTAACTCGAAATTCTTACAATGTTATAGAGTAGCGCATTACTTTTGAACTCAGAGAAAAGGAAGGTAAGAAAGTTTTTCGGGTCTTTATTGAATTTTATTGCAACTTAACAGTGAAAACTTAATCAGTAAAAAAGTTTCAATTTAAAATATCATTACTTTTTATTGAAAATGTATAAAATTTATCAATAGCCAGGTAGTTAAAAGGCACGTTGAAATGTATATAAAAGGATGTATTTTTGGAAAGTTTTAGAATTCTATTTTCTATAGGAAGTAACAAATTGATTTACGTAGTTGTTATTTTTGTTCGGTTGCATATTGGACTTACATTGCGTATGAGTAACTTTGTTGCAACAGGTTTGGCCATTATATTAGACTGAATTAGACTGAAAACAAGTATTATATACCATATATAATGCATGTACAAATAAATATATATGTAAACCTATTAAATTTATTATAATGGTGCATGTAAATCTATAAATCTATTATGATGCATATTATTATTACTTATTTTATGACAGTCCCAAACTTCGAAAGTATTGGGACACATACAGGCGTGGAACCCATTTTAATACCATTGCTGGTTATAACTTCCCGCTTCAACTACAATCGGGCTTTTGAAATCATCGGCATTCAATAAAAAATCTTAAAAGTTTCATTGAGGGTGTATTTAAAAGGTCCCAACATCGAAGGTATTGTAATTTAAACAGGCATGGATTTCATTGTGACACTAATTGCGGGATAAAATGTTCCCTCTTTAACTGCCGTTGGTCATCTGAAACCATCTATGGAAACCTTAAAAGTTTTATGAAGGATGTGTTCAAATAGTCTCAAACAACGAAAGTATTACGATTCAGAAAGGCTTGGAACCCAGTTTGATACCATTGCGGGACTTAACTTCGATCTGCAAATACAGCTAGTATAAGCTAGTAGAGCTACAGAAATCTTAAAAGTCTTATTAGGCTGTATTCGATTAGCCGTAAGCACCAAAAGTATATTGGGACTCCCATAGGCTTGGAATACGTTATGAAGTAGTGTGGTATATAAATACCTTTTTTAACTACGGCTAGTTATCTGAAATCATTTGGTTTCAATGAGAAATCTTAAAAGTGTTATTAAGACTGTGTTCAAACTGTAATTAATATTAAGATTCTTAAAGGTTAGTCATATTATATTGAATATGGTTTGAATGTGCAACTTTATAAGTTTCATCAAAGTTTATTTCATTACTTTAAAATTAGGTTCAAAATTTTAAGCTTTAAGTCTTTTGTATTTATGACGTTAGCTTTCTCAATTTAATTAAAATTAGTCGTATTCGTAAATTTATTAACATTTAAGCAAAAAAAGACAGGTTTAATTTTAGATGGTGTTATCGCTGATTTTCTTTCAATTTCAAAATATATTGAGAAAAACTAAATTTGAATCTTTCGACTTCTTAAAATACTGATCGGTTACAAAGCGTATGTGTAATTAATAATTTATTTTTGCAATTATTTTTTATATCTAATTATTCGTAAATAATTTTTTGAGACTGCAAGTACCAAGAATCGAACTCGTGTCCTGCCAAATATGAAGCTTAGAGTCAGCGCGTTTTAATCAACTGTTCCAAAACCGTACCTGATTTGTATTTTCGAACTCGGGGTTAATTTGCTCTGAAAGTTCATTAACAAATTCATTCGCTATGTTATATTAGAATGAAATTATAAACTAGCTGTAGAATTTTTGAATGAATTAATTGTACTTTTTGTTTTAAATTTATATCATTATTTTGGTTAAAAATTAA